TGAACTAATTTAAATTTGGTTGGACATTTTGACTGATATTATTTAGATAGCAAGAAGATGATCCTTTGGCAGTGGATTTTTTCTGTGAATAAGAGCTCCTTCATGCACATAACCCTTGAAGTGTTACAAAAAGAGTGGCTTATGGGTCTAACACAACAACACAAGAGTGCCATTGGACAAAGGTCCAACAGCTGCTAGTCAGTTTTTATCTCAATTCTTAATTCAAGATAAACATTTTTTTTTAAATGTGAACCCTTCGAGTAGTTGTAGGAAAGTGATCATTGTACATTGTACATGTAGGCAATCCTCATATTATTGTGAAAGGCCTTGTGCAGATGTTATTGATTTCACTGGCTACCAAAAGATGACCATATCTTTGCAGTGAGTTTCCGAAAAATTAATGCACTTTGAAAGCCCAGTAGAGTGAGTACAATAACAAACTGAAACTGCCTGTCTGGTGCATTTTGCAACATTTCGTCTGTCTGGCCTCTGCTGTCATAATTACTATTTTATAGCTTATGAATGGAGCATTCAATTTGGCCATACTATACATAATTATCACCTGGGAACTGCTTTCGCTTTTTGCAAAGGGATACATTTCTTTCAAGCTGATTGAGAAGGTACGCAGTCGAACATCTTAATTTGGGATCTTCTTCTAAGCATTTCCTTTCTACTTCAAGAAAGCAACGTTCAGAAGGAATGTTGGCACTGATATCAGACATGACAACACCAACTGAAAATAAATCGGAAGCAAATGATGGTGGCTTGCCAAGAATGATTTCAGGAGCAATGTGTCTGTACTTTTTACGGTAGCCATCCTGTTCATGTGCACTTAGACTCCTCCTTTTGGAAGTAGCTTCAGATACTCCAACGGACTTGCCAAAATCAATGAGCATGGGATGAAATCTTGTGTGTAGAGTTCTCAGGAGAATATTATCACTTTTGATATCTCGATGGAGAAGTTGTTTCATGTAAAGGTGCTGTAGAGCTTGGCACGGTTCAAACATAATCTTTCCAGCACAATATTTTGTGAAGGGTATGGTGGGATGGTATAATGCACTGTACAAAGTAAAAGTCTGGTTGTTAATACCATAGAAGTAGGAAACCAAAAAGTAAGGTTTTTGTGTTAAATTTACTCCAAAGATGTGAGGAAGAGATGGATGTGAACATCTTGCCATTACATCTGCTTCACGTTGAATATCCTTAGTAGAAGATAGGTTATTGTACTCCTTCACAGCTACTGGAATTCCTTTCTAATACTTTTTTTGACAACTACCAAATACACCATGACCAATGTGAACTGTGATGTCTTTATTGTCATTGTCTCTTGAAGTCCTTAACTGGTATGGAGAAATTTCTGGTATATTTCTGCCAGATATAATACCTTGTGGAGAAAAAAGCTGCAAATATGAATTGCAGTTAATTTAAGTTTTAAGTGACTTTTTAAGAAAAGAAATGTAAATTTTTACCATACCTACACCACTTTATACATTTGGGTGCCTTTTGAATTTTTCAAATCTCAAAAATTAGGTACTATTCAAATTCTGCAGCCATTTTGTTATTTTGAAAGATACATTTATTCTTCTGGTGAAATGGTGATTCATGACATCCTTTGATCCTTTAGCAAAGTTTGGTTATCGTGTTGTTTATCTGAGCAGACGGTTCATCTGCAAATTACTAGCTATAATAAGAACCTGCTTGGCACATTATGAGAAATATAGGTATAGGGAAGCATTTCTATTGTTTTAGATGGGCATAGAGGTTACAGATGCGGTGTGAATACAACTGTTTATTTTTGTCACTTCTTTCCCTCTGTACCCCTGTTCATTGTTGAAATAAAACACTTCAGGGATTCTATGACTACATTTTTTCAGTTTGCCAATATTGAGCTGGAGAGAAATGTGGATTATGTGGTTGTTGTTATCAAATAATTTGATCAAAATGATGACTGTATTTTCACTTAATCTTACAGACTATAGCTTATACTCAACACTGACTTTTCACCTTGAAGCACCATACTCACACCCCCTTCCCCTCCCAGAACCCAACATACAACATCAGTCTGACTTTTTGAGTGTATGTACGTTTTAAGAAGCACCACTCACCCTAGGGTTGGTTCCAAATCTAGAAACCGGTGATAGGGTACCCGCTTTTGCCTGAATTTTTTTATGGGCCTTGTTTATTTGTTGCCACTTCAAGTAACATTTCCTTGCAAGGTATAGGAATCGATGGCGCCATCGAAAGGAAATTAATTTGCTAGTATTTGCAACATCCTCCATATTCGTTGTTGATTTGTTTGCACAGAAAATGCACTTAAAAATCTGCGGGAAGGCGGGAAAGCATTGATTTGATCTTGTCACATCAGGTCACGAGTTAAATTTCGCTTTATCGTCAGAGGTAGCCGCTAATTACGTATCCTCTAAGGAAACTCTTAAGGAGTTACTATAGCGATAGAAAGGTAAGCAAACTAGTTTTCGCTTTGCAATAACGTTTCCGTGGCAGAAGTTAGAGTTCAGAGATGACAGAAAACAAAACAAACAAAACAAACAAAACAAACAAACAAACAAACAAAAAACAGAAAAGAAACGGAAAGAAAACAGAATCAATTGAGGAGGACAACTTTCATCGAGAGGTAAGTGCTCGCGTCTTATTTATATTTTGTTTGATTGGGATAGAAACCCTCTTGTGGCTTGGACTTGTTTTCAATTTCTTTTTCTGCTTATCTCTTATTGCTAAACTCCCCTCTTCCACTCCTTATTATTGATTATGCTGTACCCAAACCAGCCATACATAATTTTACAAGTACTTTTTACTGAAAAAAGTCATCCTAAGGTATTTTTATTGCTCATTGTTGACAGCATACTGATAACTATTCAGTCAGATAATTTGTTCTGACTGCGGGATTTTGTGTTGAGTTTGATGACACTCAGATGTGCATATTTAAGGTAAGGGGGACATGAATACGGTGATGAGTGTATAGTGATCTTCCAGTGCTTTAACAATTGTCTACACAATCGTAGGGTCTTGTACAGGTTGCATCCTTTCTCATCTTTCTCAATATCATCCAGAGTTGGCTCTAAACAATCATTTCCGGTTATGAATAGTTTTTCCCATTCTTTAAATTTTTTTGTTTACATCTGAGTGCTTTGCAAGGACTTGCAACTGCACATAAGCTAGTTGAGATTCATATTTTTTCCTGCAGAGTCTTACTGTTTAAGTTTTTTCGAAGAGTGTTTCTAGTGCTGTCAAGTTTCTTTACATCCTTTGTCTCACCAATAACTTTAGCTACATTTTTGGCTGTAGTCGAGTATAAGGAGGATGTAGATAAATTTGGTTCTAAGTGTAGCTGGTCTCATGGGTTTCACCAGTAATTGGCAACTCTTCAGGTTGCACTGTAATCACCCCTGTCTCTTCCTGATCTTTTTCTAGTTCTTCCATCCCATTTCTCTGGTCACCCTGGCCCAAAATGTCCTCTCCCACTTGAACAAGAGCAATCACTCTTTCCTCTCCTTTGTCAGTTTCATCTTCATCGTCTTCGCTGTTATGATCCATAAGCCTGTTCTCTTCTGCATAATCTTCACTTCCAACTCCATTCAATTCTTCATTTCTGTCACTCTCTCTTTCACTTTCGTCTTCATCTTCATCATCCTGCAGGAAGCCAATGTGAATGATGTGGTGAAGCTCACCCCTTTCATCAAATACTCTGATAGCATGGTGAGGTATTTGAATATGAGCTGATGACACACACCTCTTCCAGTTTTCTTGAAGGCATTTACTCTCTGACTTCAGTGTGTGGGAGCGAAATTGGTGTAAAGGTGGAAGGGTGTGCACTTCTGTTCGAGTTTCACAGGGGGAGGTGACATCAAAGAATTTAACACCTTTAGCAACATGCCTTCACCAAACTCCTTCTCTACACAAAAGGAAGTCAGAAATGCGCTCCAGGTGTGCTTGATAGGCGCTCTGGTATTTAAGGATGATTCTGTGGGGGATGATACTATTTTCAGGTTTTGGCAAGCACTTGGATAGTTTCCCCAGTCGTGACTCCTGCTCTTGAATGGCACTTTGTCGGTTGATTTCACCTAGTTTCATTTCTCCTTGCATCCTGATCAGGCCAGGGGTGATGATCTCTCCAGGTCGTCTGCTTGATTTTGCCAGGGATATGCTGGCAAAAGTGTTGAAATGGCGCTCTTGTTGTTCAGTGTTGGTTGACCTGTAGCAGATGATGCGATGTTGGATGGGTACATGGCACACGAATGAGTGCAGGTAACGGCCATAGATTTTTTTCTCCGTAAGTATTTTAGGCTTTCCAATAACCTCCTCACATGCAATAGCATGAAGAAAGGTTTGATTGTGAAGCCTTAATACATTTTTTGGCATCTCTCTTGTACCTTAGCATACAGAATTTGCATGATTTCTGTCATGGTGTCCAACAAGAGCTGTACCTTCTCATCGACAAAACCTATGAAGGGGAAAATAATAAAATATAACTATAAAAACACTTAATTGAAAATAATTTTGATGGAACTAAAGAACAACTTTCTGTAAGTGGGGAGTACAACATGTATTAACAGTTGTTAACTGTTCAACTTAATGATTAAAATAACTTAGCAGAACAGCAGTAATAAAGCACTCAGCACAACAGCTGGTTACATTTGGGAAGTAAGTATCTATAAGATGTCAATGTAATGTGAAAAATGCGAAATTCTTAGAGACTTATAATAACATTCTCGGATTCTTCTGCCAATTTTAGTCCAAACTGGTCTGATCTACCAGGGGTGTGTGTTGGGAGGTGGGATAATAACAAAAGTATTATTGTCAGGACAAATTTAATATTTTACGTACAAAGTTAATTAGGACCTATGTCTATATAACTTCAAAAGTAGAACAATGTTTACCTCTCAACTGTTTTGCAAGCAAAATACAGATCTCATGATAATCTGAACCACGCAGTTGGTCTTTTGTTACAGAAACCAAGTTCAGTGTCTCCCCACACAACTTTTTCACATCATCTGAAAGGTGGGCAGAAATTTCAGTGTTAAATTTTTTGAGATGTTTTCCTTCACATCGTGTAATGGTTCAGTGGGAAGGACCTCATACATCGCTGTATAATGAAAGGAAGTAAATAAAACCAAAGACAATTAATTTAACTGGATTTGATAAATACATATAAATTTCGTTATGCTTGGGTGAAATATGAGTGTTTAAACTGCTATTGTGAGGTGTTGCTTTTACATGTACATTATGTCCTGGTCCATGTTAGGAGAATCAGACCAATCAATTTTGCTTTTACAATCAATATTGTCTGATCCCTGTCAGTAAGTTCAATTTAATAATAAAAGTCGTTATTGTCCCTATGAGTACAAAATGATACAACATGCACCTAATGGTTTGCAAAACATTAGATTTCTCCTTCATGATCAAATGCACATAAAAGTACAAACTGTTTAATTTGTATTCATTAGCCATAGAGCCACTAGTCCAAGAATTTAACATGCAGTAAGGAGAGTAATTCTCCTTTATGGTAAAAGATAACTTTATAATAATTTTGTGTTATGCTAGTACTGTAAATATTTGAGTTAATTACATACCTAAATGAAGATCCTTTAAGCTTCTTCCTTGATTCATGGTAAACATTGCTGGTACTCTCTGTATACCACCAAGATGCTCTTTTAGGATGATCTGCAGATCCTTCTTGTAGCCTTCATCACACAATCCCCGTGCTCTACATTCCCTCTGCAGTTCAGCAACCGACATATCTTTCAATGGTCTGATTCCACCATTTCTCTTTGCTTTTCCTGCAGGCCCTGCTAGCACTATGTTTTGCCGATCTGCTAGAGACAATTGGGGGCGTCGAAAACTGTATGTAAGGTCACGATATCTTCGTGAATCTCCCCTACATCCACTACAACCAGCTTTTCCTACCCTCTGCTCTCCACTCTCAAACTGCTGTTCTGGGCCATCTCCATGGAAGAACCGCAGCACATCATTCATTTTAACTCCATCACTGGTTTCTACTTGATAAGGAACGTAATCAAGGCATTCTTGTCTGGTCTCAACATGTGGAAGCTGCTTAACCCCTTTTGATCCACATCTCCCAATAATATAGAGATGAGGCCTTTCAACAATTTCTGCTACATCAACATCTCCATATCCTCTGGCCTTCATCTCTTCAGGGGTGTAGAAGAAGGCAGGATCAAAAAGGCACTAAATAAGGTACAATATGTGCGTAGGTACTAAAAGTTGGAATCACCTGAAACCACCTGAAACCACCTGAAACCATATGAAACCATCTGAAACCATCTGAAATCATCTGAAACCACCTATGAAACCACCTGAAACCATCTGAAACCCCCAAGGAAACCATCTGAAACTACCTGAAAATACCTCGAAATAATTTAAAACAACATGAAAGCAACTAAAAAATTACGGGTAACATCAGAAACTAAGTGTTAACAATCGAGTTTATCCACAGGGAGCCCGGCCTACGGATATCGTATGTAATGCCCTACAGTACAGAATAGGCACCACAAACAGGGCTTTAGGTCTTTTTTTTATTTCAAAATCTCAACTATCTATTCCATTTACTTAGGCATTGGAAGTTAAAGCACCATTCATCAGCTATATTCTGTCACTTGCAATAAAATACCTTGCAAAAAATCCACAGATATTTCACTTTTGCAAAAACAAAGTCAGTGAAATTCTAGGTCTTGCTATAAATACGTATCTGATTAAAAAGAAACACAATCTTCAAAATTTCCTTTGGAAGTTTGAAAATCTTCAGGCCTTCCTGGACTTTTTCATATATAATATGTATGATCCCGTTGAAAAAACTTCACGTATTTCTTTCGATTTAAAACAGTTGCTTCTTTGCATTCGCGATCGCCTGTTGACATTGTCACGCAAGTGCTTTGTCAAGAAATGAGTTCGCATATTCCAGTGCAACTCCCAGCCATTCGTAGAGCTAATTGAGTGTGTTTTCAACAAGAACAATGGAATGTTTCGTTTTCCAACTTCCTAAGGACATTTTGAACATTGTGTTTCTTTTTAATCGGAGACGAATTTATAGCGTGACCTAGAATCTCACTGACTTTGTTTTTGCAAAAGTGAAATATGCGTGGATTTTTTGCAAGGTATTTTACTGCAAATGACAGAATATAGCTGATGAATGGTGGCTTTAACTTCCGCTGCCTAAGTAAATTGACTAGATAGTTGAGATTTTGAGAAAAAAAAAGCCTAAAGCAAACAAAATTGATTTCTTTTAAACTGCCACCAGGTAAGTCTTTAGTCTGTTCTTCTACCTCCTGATTTATGATGTCATGGTAAAAGCTGTCATACAGATCAGCATGTCCAGCCAGACACCCTATGGAGCTGATGCAGACCCAGTGATCGCTTCCTGTGTGCAGAAGTTGTATAAACTCACCAAAGACCACAAAATTTCGCACAGGACTAAGTGTAGGCCGTTGAAAACCCTCAATGACTGGATTTGCTTCATACAACAGTACCTGAGCCCTGTGAATGATATCACAGTTAAGCCACCCAGACTGATCGAGAATAATCTGATAGTCAGATTCTGCTAGATTAGCAAGAGCACTATATTTGTTGATTTCACCTTTGAGCTCTTTGACAAAGAGCTTGTACTAACAGAAGCCGTTAATGTGGAGAGCATTGAGATAGCAGATGATGAAACTGCAGAAGAAGCCTTTTAGTTCATTTTAAACCTAATATTTACGAGATAATAGAGGGAAGTAAGAAATGTTTGCGGGCGTGTTCCATGTAACATCTGTCACAGCAGCTACTTCTTTACTTAAAAAAAATAATAATAATAGATAAGAACATGAATATTCCCAATATTTTTTGTACCTAAAATATTAAAAAAAAAAAGATGATTGGCGTGGAACAGACGACTGGACTCTGTTTTTTCTTCTTTCCTATAAGAATTTGTTAACAACACCTTGAGGACCCTAAAATATAAAACTAAAAGGTTAACTTC